GAAGATATTGAAAACGAGCTGCTGGAAGAGCTTTGGTAAATAGGTTTTCTTGTTGTTCTTCAGTTCTACAAAACTTCAGCTTGATGATTTCATTTGCCACTATCTTTCTTATGAAATGATGCTTAATTTCTATGTGCTTGGTTCGACCATGCATGACAGGATTTTTTGTCATTGCAATCGCGGATTGATTGTCACAGCAGATCACAGTTGCTTCTATTTGTTCTTGCATGAGATCATTCATAAGTTTTCTTACCCAGATTGCTTGACATGCTGTGATTGAGGCTGCCACATACTCAGCCTTTGATGTGGATAATGCCACAGTTTCTTGCTTCTTTGATAACCATGAGATAATTCCAGTTCCCATATTGAAACAATTTCCAGTTGTGCTCTTTCTATCTTCTTGTGACCCTGCCCAGTCACTGTCTGTAAAGCCTTCCAACAGTAGTTTCTTTGACTTCATATACCATATTCCATAATGCTTGGTGCAAGCAACATAACGAATGATCCTTTTTACCACTCCAAAATGATGTATTGTAGGTGAATGCATGAACCTTGAGACCACACCGACATCATAACTTATGTATGGTCTTGTGTGTATAATATATATTAGTCTCCCAACTATGCTCCTATACATATACATATGGGGTTCTTCCATTCCTGTACCATCAGAACTTACAAGCTTTTCATTAGTTTTCATAGGTGTTACGTTGGGTTTTTCATTCACTACATTGAGATCTTTCAGCAAGTCTGTGACATATCTTTCTTGTGCAATAAAAATACCCTTGTTGCTTTATTTTACTTCTATACCAAGAAAATAATGTAACCTTCCAAGATCAGTCATCTCAAAAGTTCTCATCATTTCCTCTTTGAACTGTTGTATGAGTTTCATTGAGGACACTGTGTATATCATATCATCTACATAGAAACTAATCAACATGAAATCTTATACGCCATTGCTTCTTGTAGTACATACTGGGCTCATTGGGACTCTTCGTGAAGCCCTTTTCGAAGAAGAAACTATCAATTTTGCTATACCACGAGTGTGGGGCCTGTTTGAGCCCATACAAAGCCTTTCGTAACTTGTATACCTTCTCGTCCTTCCCAGTTACTAAGAATCGTTCAGGTTGCTGAACAAAGACTTCCTCTTTAAGATCTCCATTCAAGAAATCCGACTTAACATCAAATTGATAGACTTCCCACTCTCTTTGTGATGCTAATGCGAGGATCAATCGTATTGTTTCTATCCTTGCCAACGACGAGAACGTTTCATCATAATCCATACCTTGTTCTTGCGTAAAACCTCAAGCGACTAATCTGGCTTTGTGTTTTTGTAGGCTCCCATTAGCTTTGAACTTAGTTTTGAACACCCATTTTAGTGATATAGGGTACTTATCAGATGGTAGTTCCATGAGTTCCTAAGTATTGCTCTTCTCAATAGCAGCACTCTCTTCCTCCATTGCTCTTTTTCATCTATCATCTTGAAGAGCAACATTCGTTGATATAGGATCACCTGCAAATAGTGCCATTGTGCTTGCATAAATATCTACTAATGTTCTTGTTTTGAGTGGTGTTATTTTTGGTGATGTGCTGCTAGAAGATGCTGTGTTTGATCTTGGAGGAGTAACTTGTAAAGACACTCCATGCGAGGAACTTGAACTCGAGGATGAGATGTTTGAAGAATTGGTTTGAGTAATTGGTTCTTGATCATGAACTTCTTCTTCGTCAAGTAACTCAGGTTGAACTAAAGTAGTGACTTGTTCTTGTGTAGTGTCTTAACTTGCATATTTTTCGAAGACTACATCGCTACTAACAACAATTTTCTTGTTAATGGGATCAAAGAGTCTATAGAACTTTGATTGTGTACAGTATCCCACAAAAACATATTTCTTGGACTTGTCTTCTAGCTTGTGTATGTAAGATGTGACTAATGCATAACATGCACAACTAAAAACACGTAAATGAGTGACTGGAGGTTTGAATTCATACCATGCTTCAAAAGGTGTTTTGTTCCATACAACTTTTGTAGGAGATATGTTGGTTAGGTATACAACAGTAGCAACGGTTTTAGCCCAATAAATATCAGGTAGCTTGCTTGTGTTCAACATTAATCGAGCCATCTCCTCAATGGTTTGATTCTTTCTCTCTCCAATCTCATTCTTCTACGGGGTATGTGGAGCTGTCATCTCTCTTCTTATCCCTTCTTTCTCACATAGGGTAATGAATTCCCGTGACATGAATTCTCCCCCTCTATTCTGTATATTTTGCTTGACCTTGCTTTTCCCAACAATCTTCTTCCTTATGACCAAGCTTCCCACAGTGATCACATCGAACCACTGCTCTCCATGATCTGCCTCGTCCACGGCCTAAAAATGATGATGTTCTTTCTCTTCCTCTACCTCTAGAAAATCTGTTTTTCTCCCCTTGATTTGAAAGGCTTGTTATTCATCTTGTGTGTGATTCATGTTTATTCTTGCCTCATGCACTTGTAGTGACCCCATTAACTCAACAAAGTAAAAGTCTTCAAGTCCTCTGATTCTTCTATTGTTGCCACCACGTAATTGAACTTGACTGGTAAGCTCATGAGAACTTTGGCCACCACAATTTCATTAGAAATATTGTCTCCATAGGCACGCATCTGTGTCACTATGGATGCTATTTTTGCAAGATATTCTTGTACTGCTTCATTTGGCTTCATGTTTAAAGTCTTGAACTGTCTTCTCAAGGATTGCAATTTAACTGTAATAACTTTGGTTGATCCTTAGTATTCAATCTTGAGAATATCCCAAGCTTCCTTTGATGTGACTGTTGCAACAATTCTAGGGAAGATGGTCTCATTTATTGCCTATTGAATAAAGAACAAGGCTTTAGCATCTTTCTTCTAATTATCTTTTTAACGGGCTTCATCTGCACTTGTCTCTGTATAACCTGCTTCAACAAATTCCCATAAGTCGTGAGACTTGAAAAGGGTCTTCATTTTGGTGCTCCAGAATTCATAGGACTCCCCTTTGAAGACATGAATCTGTGGTTGTGACATGCTAATAGTGCTGCTCCTATTTTGTGCCATTTGAAAGTCACCGATTGAGAGTTGGATAAGAGACCAAGCTCTGATACCAGAATATTAGATCCTAACAAAATGAAAAAGAAGTGCAGGTGAACTTTCGTGATATTATTGATGAAAAAAGACAACAGAAGGCAACTATAAATAGTAGAGTTTTACAATTGAAAAGTAAAAGCTGGAAATATGGAAGGATTTAAGTAAATGCAGAAAAATTGAAAGACTTCTAGCAGTTACTAAGCCAATCACGAGAGTTATTATTTTCCTGAAAAACTTTGAATCAATCTTCAACAGAATCAAAGGCATAGCATAGTATGTTTTCAAAGTATTTTAATCTTTTTTTTTTTTTTTTTTTTTCAGTTAGGCTATATCTGGGGAAGCAACTCTTCTAGTAGTAATAGACACCGATGCTATTTTTCTACTATTATTAGATAATATTAGATTGACGATAAGTTTGAATACAAAATAGGGGTTAATAAAAAATACCAGTAGGGTCTATGCGAACACATACTTACCATGTAAATTCGCCTCTTTTAGAAGGCACATGTATGCCAACATTAATTAAAAGCATTAAGCAAATATACACCCCCAAAAGATAAACCAAGATCTCGATGAAAAGAATTTAAGTTATTTATTCTCTAAGATTAACCAATTTAATAGAGAAATTATAATATTCAAGAAGGAACTATATATATATATATATATATATATATATATATATATATATATATATATATATATATATAGGGTAAAGTGAATATACCTAACAACCTTATATAAGCTTAGGTACCTAACTTCATCAAACTACGTCATTTTGCATTAAATTTTCATTGCAATCATCCAAATTTCTTAAACTTCATCCTTAAACTTGATTTACTTCAAAAAATTTTGAAAATTCGTCATTATATTTCTCCTACATCCTTTCATTTGTAGCGGTAGGATATGAAGCCCATCAGGTAGTATTCGATAGAAAGATGTGATGTAAAAGAAAGATATTGGTGAAAGTCCAAAGATTTTGGAAGTAATCAAGTTATGAGGTTGAAGTTTAAAAACCTTAGGCAATTACAATGTAAATATGATACAAACCGATGTAGTATTATGGAGTTAGGTACCCAAGCTTATATAAGGTTGTTAGGTATATTCACTTTACCCATATATATATATATATATATATATATATATATATATATATATATATATATATATATATATATATATATATTACATCCAGCAGGTAAGATCAACCATGTGTCTCTATCACTCCTCCCTCATTGCCATTGCCATGAACTTCCATGCTTATTATCTGCATACTATATATAGTAGATGAACTGCATAAATAACACAATGTATTAGATGAAATAACTTTTTAAACTTTCATATGCATTATTGCAATGATAGTAACCACCTGATGCTTTTTAACTGAAGTAGATACAAGAAAGAAGAAGATACAATCAACTCATATTTGAACTGAATGAAATAAAAGGGAACATCATTTAATTGTTCAAAGACACATCAAAGGCTAAAACACAACTATATTTGTCAAATCAACAAATAGGTGACCACAGAAAACACAAGAAATATGTTCTGGTATGTTTACACTTTTCACTGCACAGGCTGGTCAAATTTGGAGGAATTCTCGAAGGATATTTGAATAAAAACTAAATCTTCTTTCTAAATCTACCTCTTCCCTCTTAAGAATCTTTCTTTCTCAAACTCCCACATGTGCGTATCAATCATGCTAAAAAGGAATGTTAAGAAATTGAATGAAAAACCAGTTCACTGATGTTAAACTCAGAAATCACAGATAGATTGTAAAATTACAAGGAAAAAGAGCTAGAAACATACAAACATACAAAAAAAAGGTGACATTTCACATACTGATTAACCTTATCTAATCTCATTTTTTTAACAGCTAGACTTCAATTAAAACAACTAAAAGTTGGAATTACATGGTACAATACAATGGGTTTTCAACCCAAAAGTTCCAAATCAAATTCCTACCCCATTTCGCTCTACTCCTAATCCATACAAAGGCCAAAGCCTTGACATCATAGGCTAAAGCTAACAGACTCTTGACCTTAGTATTGGTGTTGAAGATCACCTCATTCCTATAATTCCATATAGTCCATAAAAATGCTTTAGATATCGCTTCTAAGGTGTTTAAATACCTACTTCCCACTTTTACAGATTCCTATAATTCCATATAGTCCTTATCTAATCTCATGACTTGCGGATTCAAATATTCAAACAAGATCACTACCATTGCAGATTCATACGAGCAGACCATAATCTTTTCTAAATACCAAATTCAATAAAAAATTTCCACCTTTCATCCAAGCATCCTTCTTTACATGAAAAACTATAAAATTTACAAATGAAGAAATAAATGAGTCAAATTCGAGAGCAAGATAGCAGAATTAACAAGAAAAACAATCCTACAACTAAAATCCGAAGTAATCTAATCTACAAGTTGATCATGTATTAGTACCAAATCCAATAAATTTTTTGTAAATTTGCACCTCTAAACAACACCCATATTACAAATCTCATACAAACAAAAAAATCCAAATAGTAGTAGTAGTTGTTGTGTGTGTGTGTGTGTGTATATATATATATATATATATATATATATATATATATATATATATATATATATATATATATATATATATATATAAGCACAACAGCATACCTAAAAAGCAAAACAATCATTGATAACATATATTCCGGAGGATCTATGCAGCTTCTCTTCCTCTCTTCATCTTGGCAACTCTTACCACGACTGCAACATATATCTTTTCCATCATTATCTCAGCAAACATGAACAGCTTCTGTCTCCAGTGATTCTTAAACAACAAAACTCCAATAACACCCTAAAACCCTGTTGCAAAACCACAAATTATGCCCACATAAAACAACCATATCATGGTCTGCTCATCACTTGCTTCGTTTATCTTCTTGGGCGTTGTTGGATCTTGATGATTTGAGCAACTATTTGACAATGGAGGTCCACATAGATATTTGTTCCCAGCATATATTGATGGATCAGTAAGTGTCTGCAATTGGTTTCCTGTTGGAATTTGTCCCGACAAGTTGTTGTGTGACAGATTCAAATGGCTCAAAAAGTTCAAAGCTGCCATGCTTGAAGGGATCCTTCCGCCCAACTCGTTTTTTGAGAAATCAAGAGTTTCTAAATTCATCATGTTTCCAATGCTCATTGGAATACCCCCACTGAGATGATTATTAGACAAATTCAGACCCACCAGCATAGAAAGTGTAGTTAGCTCGACCGGTATTTCCCCCACAAGTTTATTGCTTGAAAGGTCCATGTTATAAACTATAACCCAGATTGTTGTATATTCAAGATCAACACCTTTCATGACCTGAATCACATTCTTATCATCATTCATACTGAAAGGATACGTAATTCTTGAGAGAATGTGACTCTCAATCATGCCGTTTAACTTTCCTACACAACGAGGGATGGTCCCCGTTAAGTTATTATATGCAAGATCCAAGATTTGAAGATTTGAATTTTTGCAAAGAGATCGAGGGATTCTACCGGTGAAGTTGTTTTTGTGTAACCTCAAAACTACCAAAGCTATAAGTTTTTCTCCAATCCATTTTGGTATTTTTCCAGAAAACTTGTTATCACCCAAATCTAAGACTTGTAACCCTTGTAGATTCACCATTTCTCGTGGAAGTTCACCAATAAAGTTATTGTCGTTCAAACTTAACCAAGATAATGATGAACTAAGACCTATGGAGCTTGGAATGACACCAGAGAGCCGATTTGAGCTTAATCTCATGGTACTCAAAGCCTGCAGATTCCCCACACACTTGGGAATTTTCCCACTTAACATATTTTTCGAAAGTTGAAGTACTCGTAAATATGTTCTTCTGCACAGTGACCTTGGAATCGACCCACTGAAAGTATTATATTGTAGAAATATTGTAGGGTCAGACTCAAATAAAAACACTTCATCATTTCCCCCATCGGGAAGATTTGTCAAAGGTCCGCTGAGTTTTTTGTGAGAGAGATCTAACCAAGGAATGATGGGCATCTTTCGAAACCATGTGGGCAGTGGTCCCGAAATTTTAGCATTGGACAACACTAACTCCTTAACTTTCCTTTGATTTCGAAGCCACTGTGGGAATCCACTACTGATATTGCAGGAACTGAGATAAAGAACTATCAACTGGAATGGAGGCATCCACCCACTTGAAACATTGAATGTCAACTTAGTGTTAAAAGAAGTATCCAAGTACTTCAACATCGAAAGGTTAGCAAAATGAGCTTCAATAACTGTTCCTTCTAAAGAATTGTTAGAGATAAGAAGAGAATGAAGTTTGGCAAGTTTCCCAACTGAAACTGGAATGGTCCCATTTAACAAATTAGATTCCACACTCAAATCTGTTAAAGCTGCTAATTTTCCAAGGGATTCTGGAATCGAACCATTCAATTGGTTAGAAGAAAGGTCAAGTTGGGTAAGGTTCCCAAGGAATTCTGGAATGGGACCAGTCAACTGGTTTTCATATAGATATACTACTTGTAAAAATCTTAATCCTGTTACAGATTCAGGGATTGAACCAGTCAGTCCGTTCTGCGATAGATCAAGGTGTCTTAAATTCCCCAGTCTTCCAAGTGTTTCTGGAATTCTACCACTTAAACAATCCCTTAATTCCATATATTCCAAAGCATAGTGGGAGCATTCTGATATGTTCTTTGGTGAGTCAATCATTTCCATACCAAACTCATTATGTGCCACGGTCAATTATTTCAGGTGGCACTGTCTCCAGATTCCAACATCCTCAACCTGCATAAACTTGTTACGAGAAAGATCAAGCCCCGTAAGTTTAGGCATAATAGGAAGTGATGAATTCAGCATGGTTTCTGAAAGGTCAAGTACTCTTAGGGAAGTCATGTTTGCCAAAAAAGAGGGAAAATCGCCTTCAAGTGGATTGTTGCTAAGATCGAGGTGTTGGATATTAAAAAATGTACTGAAATTAAGACGGTGGGATGATAGATGTGTCATATCGAGGCTACAATCAGACAAATGCAGCTCTGATAAAGAAGGGATCATGTTTAGCAATTTTGCAAAGTTCGATCCCGAACTAAGATTAAAGTATGAAAGATCTAGGAATGCTAGGGATGTCATATTTTGAAAAAATGCAGGAAATGGAGCTTTGAAAGAATTGTAGCCAAGATCAAGGTGTTGGATGTTGGGAAGTATTCTACTGGAATTAAGAAAAGGACCAAGATCAGCATTGGAAAGTCCACACCATGACAAACTTAACTTTATTAACGAGGGCATCATGTGAAGCACCATGCCCCAGTCTTGTGCTTCAGTAAATACTACTAAACTCAAGTCTAGAAGCTCGAGCGATGAAAGCCCAAAAGCCCATGCCATGTCATCTGCTATCAACCCTCTGTTTGAACTGAGGTCAAGAACCTTTAAATTAGAAAGATTTCCAATGTGAGGAGGAATAATACCATTAAAAGAAGCATGAGAGAGATTGAGGTAGGTCAGCTGTTTCAAGGATCCAATGAACTCAGGAATAATACCATGGAAATTATTCCCACTCAAGTCGAGGTATTTGAGATGCCTCAACTCTGCCAAAGAAGAGCTCGCACTATTACCAGCTAAGTAGTAGTCGTAGTAGTAGCTGTAGATGTAGGGGTAATCTCCTTTGAGATCAAGGCGTTGAATATTTCCAGAGACACCATCACACTGGATTCCCCGCCACAGGCAACAGTCATTTCCAACCCATGATGACAACATTCCAGCACGATCTCTGACACTGTTTTTGAACTTGAGAAGAGCAAGTCGCTCTTGTTGAGAGCAATTAATGACACTGGTATTTCGAACGCCCAGACAAGTATATGTGTTTGCAACCAAAAAAACGCATAAGAAAATGAGATGGAGCCCCAAACCACACCAATTCCCCATTATCAGCGCTATCTCAGTTTTAGTTTAGAAGAAAGTTGAAGTAGAAAGATGGGTTGTGATGGGTTATTATGATCAAGTAACCAGTACATTTATAAAGCCATAAATGAAAATAAAAAAAATTAAAAATTAAAAAAAAAAAACCTGTTGCAATGGAAGACTTGGAAGTAAATGGAGAATTTGTATCCACCAACTCAATGGAGAATTTGGTCCACTTTTTTTTTTTAAAAAACAAAATTAAAAATTAAAATAGAAAAATATTAGTTGTATGTTTTAGAAAATGTCATGACTAAGTAGCCCATGTGATCAAACAAGTTATTGTCATGGGAGACTTGGACGTCAACGGAAATTTTGCATCCACATGCCTTTCGTCTTTGTCTATATTTACTTTTCCCTAGGGCACACGTAGTAGACATAGAAGTTAATTTTTAATTTGTATCCAGAACACTGTGCATTGTTTTGGTTATTGGCTATTTTTCTTTTTCATTCAATCAAAGAAAATGATATTTAGCTAAATCTATCCCCATGTCACAACGTAAATGCACTTGCCAAAAAAACAATACAGATGAACAACGTAAATCACAGAAATTGACAAACAAGCATTTCAATTTTCAAGAAATCCAAGATGGTTTTTGTAAATCATAATTATAGTGTTTATCATTTTTTTTTTGACACTTGGGTTCCCTAAATTACAGGAAACATTTTGTTTGGTGATTTGGTTTATTTTATTATTTTATTCAAGTACAGTGTACAAGAGACATTGTGTTTTTTAACATTGTGAGGTTCAAGTAGAGAAATTCATCCATTCAAGTTAGAAAAGAAGAGCCTACAAATCCAGAATGTTAATTTCATATACCTAAAATTTGTGCATAACCTACAATCAAATAAGTAATTAATAAAATGAAGAAATTTTCAGTGAGCAGATCTAAAAGATAATAAATATGATATACATTAATGCAACTTATCTCCAAGAAATTACCTTTCCAATTAAAATGCATTTTCCTTCTTGATATACACTGGATTTCCTCCCCACAGGCAACACTCATTTCCAACCCGTGATGACAACATTCCGTAATCATCTTGGACACTATTTTTGAACTTGAGAAGAACTCTCTCTTTCTCAGAGCAAACAACACTAACATTTCTAACCCCCAAACAAGTATATGTGGTTGCAACGGCCGGTCCAGACGGTGGGCAACCCGGGCGACCGCCCAGGGCCCACGAATCCAAGGGGCCCAAATTTTCTGGGCTATGTAGTGTATATATATAAAAAAATTATTACCAAAATGATATTTATGGCCTAAAGTTGGTTCAAACTCAAAATAACTCAAAAATAAACAATTTGACTTATTTGTTATTGTTAATTGAACGTGTTTATAATGAAGAATAAATGATATTTTTTTTGAATCTTTATTATATTTGTCTTTAAGGGGCCCTTTTTTTTCCTTTTCGCCCCGGGCCTCATATACGTTTGGATCGGCCCTAAATGCAACCAAAAGAACACTTACGAACCCTAAACCCCTCCAATACCCCATTATCAACCTTAAATCAGTTTTAGTTTAAAAGAAAATTAAATCGGTTTTAATTTACTCAAAAAAAAATCAAGATTACTAATAAAGATGTTCACAGTTTCATGGTAGACCTCACATATGAGACTTTGGCCTTCCTAAATCACATGCTACATTCAGTTTGTTTATTTGTCATATTTTGTTATTTTATTTTATGAAAATGATAATTTTAATTTATCACAACAAACTTACAAAGGAAAGTACTCAACTGTTCAATAAAATGTCATGACCAAGTACCACATGCATGTGATGTGATCAAACAAGTTGTTGTCATGGGAGACTTGGAAAAGTAAACTAAGGACACACATAATAGACATGCATGGAAGTCAATGTTTAGTTTGCATCCACAAAATTGTATTCTTTTGGTCCTGGTTCATTTTTAATTTTCTCTTGATAAAAAAATAAGTGACTTTGGTCAAAGTATATTCCCCCATAGCACACGTAATTACTTGGTCACAAGTCTAACAAAATATGAATCGAATAAGTATTGACAAACAAGCATTTACGTGTTAGATAAATCAACGATAGTTTATAAATTTTTGTAAATTATAGTTATATGTTATAAACTTAATTTTGATTTTTAACAATTTACAAAACTAGATATAAAATAGAATAATCTATTTATTATTATTATTATTATTATTTGATGTAACAAGGTTGATGTGTCGAGTAGGTCAAACAGGTTATATAAGAAAATACTGATTTTTTAAATTACAAGGTTCAGGCAGAGTCATGCCATGTGATCTTTATATTCCTTGTCAGGTGATGTCTTACCAAAGTTTTACTTATACATTTTTTATTTTTTAGGGTGCTCTTAACATTATGCTGGTGAAGGGTACAAAACTTGAGATTGCATCTTCTAGAGTGTATATGAAAATAAAAACTTTAATTTATCACAGAAAAATTACAAGTTACAAATATGATGACTAAGTACCCATGCATGTGATGATATCAAACAAGTCATTGTGATGGAAGACTTGGAAGTCAATGGAAATTTTGTATCCACAAGACAAGACTGCATGCTTATAGTCTTTGTCTAAGTCTGGAAGTTCCCAGGGCACACGTAATAGCATTTAGCCACAAGATATAGGAAATCAATTATTGATTTCTATTTTCTTTTTTGGTCATGGGCTATTTTTCTTTTTAATTTTCTCAATCAATGAAAGTCATTTTTGGCCAAATCTATCCGCACACATCACACGTAAATGCATTTTCCCATCAAAACAATATATATGAATCACATAAAGCACAAAATTTGACAACCAACCATTTCCATTTTTGAGAAATCAAAGATAGTTTTTGTAAATCATAATTATAAATTATAAAATTGATGATTTTGATATTTAAAGATGGAAAATCTCCGATAAAGTCCCAATATTTTTGGTCGATTTACGGTTTAATCCCAACTTTTATTTTTTGAACAGAAAAGTCCGATTATCTATTTTTATACGATAATCTGTCATTTTCTATTGACAAAAAATAAAAATTGCTTCGTTAATTTTGAAAAATATAAAATAATCGGGACTTTTCTATTTAAAAAGAAAAAGTTGGGATTAAACCGTAAAACGACCCAAAATGTTGAGACTTTAACGGAGACTTCCCTTTAAAGATTTACAGAACTACCTACAAAAAACAACTTTTTTTATTATATTGAACAACGGGCACCAAGGTTGAAGCTTGTGGGATTCAAACCTTGGGTAACTTTTTTTGCAACGCTTAAACCCTAAGTGATCACCAATATTCCTAACAAGAGATAGTTCCTGTAAGATTAAATTCAATCTTCCATCATATCTTGTATGGAAAAAGTGAAGTTTTGTCTAATGCATTGCAATTTCATAATTTACTTAGAGGTGGCAATTTCAACATAGTTATTTCAGGTCTAATGGGTAAAATCTAAACTTGACTAAAAATGAAAGGATTAATCACTTTAGCCAAAAAAAACTATCGCTTTTTGTTTTAAAAAGTCCCTCGTCAACTATCACTTTTTGTTTTAAAATGCCCCTCGTCTTTCTAATGAAATGATTAATGTCACTCTAGCCCAACAAATTATCGCTTTTTTGTTTTAAAAGCTCCCTCGTCTTTCTTTCTTTATTTATTTCTTTAATTCTTTGCATCCTAAGGGTGTAAACTTGATTTTAAGTTTTAAAAGGTCCTTATTTTTTAATTTGTTAAATTGTTACTGAAAACCAGTCAAACTTTCTATACTTGTCACACTTCATCACCGTCTTATGTTGGGAAATTTAGGGTTTATGGTAGAGATCTGGATACCAACTTGGATTGTGATATTACTTTCCGAACTGATATTTCTAACCTATGCTTGGATTACAAGAAATTCAGTTTAGGACAATCCAAGTCGACACTTACGATTCTAGGCACAGAAATCGTAAGCCAATATGCTAGAGGATTCGGTGAAAGTATGATGAGAACGAGAGCTTAAGATTGTCCCATTTTTCTAAAAAGAAGAGTTGTTTATATAATAAACGATATTAGGGTTTCATTAGGGTTGGGCCACTATGGATTCCTTTGGAAGTAAGTCAGGGTAATCCAGATTTTAATGAGGATTTAGGGTTGCCAAAACTAACGAGTATCGTTAGTTTTACCATAATCAGCCCTCAAGAATCGAAATACCCACTAGCGGGACCATAGCCAGGGGCTCTGCCCCTTGGACCCCGCTAGGGGACTGCCCCTTTGGAAACCCCGGACCCAGGGGCGCTGCCCCTGGACCCCCGACTAGTCGTCGAACCGACTACTAATTTGATCTTATACATGCGTGCACTCCGCACCAACACGTACACATATTAGAAAACAAATTAAGAAGACCCTTAGCTCACATGTTAATTCCAGTTACATAAAATGACATGGTGACACTAAAATCAGCAACAATCCTCCCCTATTTTAGTGTAACCCTTGAATAGACGTAACTTTATCAAACAATCCAAACTAGTACATAATGAAAATATCGAAACGATTGAATTTCTAATTAGTATCATACATTTGCAAATACTTGAGAATCAGGGTGTTCTAAGAATTGAATCCATCAACCCATTTGAATACCAGAACGTAAAATACATACTAGTTTATTGGGTTTCTAGCAAATTACAACTTGGCACTGTTATAAAGTCGTGTGTCCCAATTCTCTCATGATAGTATCAAGGTCAAGTCCATAACCTATTGAAATGCGGCTACACTTCATAATCACGTAGGTAACTCCTTTCCATGTATCTGCACATACATTTATCAAAGGAATTATTAAGAAGTTAAACTTCAACCTGGCTAACATGCAGAACCGAACACATACCTGGGATGAATACTTCATGTGTTCTAATCTATAAGTATGAGCTTTCCACATTGAATTCAACTCCTAAAATTATATTAGAAGGGGATTGGGTGTCTCATCATTACATAATTAAATGGACTTTAATCCCATCCCGATTA